CTCTCAGTGATTGAAAAAGTCATTGAACATAACTTTTTTAATACCATCTACGGTGAAATCTGTCTTCGTTATTACAACCAAGATGTCTTCTTACTCTGTGACACACTGCTCAACCTACTTAAGGTTATGTGTGAGTAGCACATTCACACACAATAACTAAACAGTGCAGTTTTGAAGAGATGGAACTATGTTTGAACATTTTCTTTTGATGCAGTTTTGTACTTCTCCTCTAGGGGGCAGCATTGTTAAGATTATGGCAGCAGCATAATAAACTCGAGCAAAATCTGTACAACAGACAAGAAGCAGATTTTTTAGTGCCATACTAAAAAACAGTAGTGACTCTAAACAAAGTATTATGATGAATTAATAATGTTCCTTTCATATTAATTCTAAGGTTGACAAAGGCAGTTTGGACTCCTTTTCATCAATTTTGGACTTGTACTGAAACAACCTAATGCAGTTTATAAGTCTACTTCAGAAAAGGAATTGAAATGTGTATTTTCTTTATGCAGTATACAACCATCGGGGGGCGCTGTCTTGGTAGAAGTTTCAGGAATTCCTTGTATGTATGACAGATATTTCAATTCTAACTAAATCTAATTTCTGAAATCATCCTATACCTGTTTGATTTCTGAATGCAGCAGGTTGCAGCAGGGACTTTAAGTTCTCATTCTTTCTTCTTATCAACCACTTCTGTGTCTCTGAATGCATAATGGGCTGCATTGACAGTTTACAGCCTTAGGCTCATTTCTGACCCACTGTGTTAACCCAACTATCTCCACCAAATTCTGATCAATACAGCTGACTGTTCAATCCCCCATCCCCACAGGCTTAAAAAAGTCCCTCTGAGGTCTACTTTTTTTACACTTATTTATCACTGATCAGATTAATGGGGAAGAATGTGTTTACTAAAAAAATAAGATTCACTCTGGATGTAAGTGAAGACATGCTTTTATAGACGGACAATATCAGACAAAACAATAATATGAAGTGATTCTACACAATATGATACAATAAGATATTATACTGGACAATGCAAAACAATCTAAAACAATACAGTATGATACAGTAAGGCATGATAAGATTTAACACTACAAGATATGTTGCTCAGCAACATGAGCTCATGTAACGGACATATGCAAAGCTTAAGCTACACCTCAGATCAAATGAGGTCAAAGGTCATGTCTCAAGTTCTTTATCGGGGTCTTTGGCTGTGCTCAGTGATGCGTGGTTGGTTATAGTCCAAAGCTGATGCTGCTCTGATGTCAATACTTACTTTATGTATTCATAGTAAATCTTTTTCAGATTTACCAGTCAGATTCTGTCAAATGAAACTATATTTTTCTATGACATCTGGTGGCCAGTGAACAGAATAGAGAAGAGAAAATAAGATAGACAGATCAAATCAATAAGTCACAGATGAGGGGGTCTTGTGGGAAAGACACAAGGTCTGTTGCCATCTGGCCGGTTCAATCTTCAAAAAGAACCCAGACTTGATCAGATCATCTCTACAGGAGCACAGCCACGCAAAAGAGAATCTGCACCAACTCACTGGCCAAAACTTTAATAGCACATAATGATGCTTTTTGCTAAGTTGTTTACCAAATACAGAGAGCACCACTGGCACTGCTGCGCTCTGAGGGTTTTCTCCAAATACAATTGTACTCTCATGCCAGTTATTGGTGTGAGTGCTCTCAGGGTAATTTAAGGGCTTCCTTGGCTCACCATATGATCCCTCTCCATCTATTACAGCGCATTAGAAGAAAAGCTCACAATGAGACGGCAGATCATGTTGAGGCTGTTTTCTGCTTCTCTGATGCTGCTGATGGAGCAGTGTGACAGGTGGCAAAAGACAGGAGGTCTTTTTACTTCTAGAAGATGTTGTTCTGTGAGAGAAATTTCTTAAATGATGAAGATTATTACATTGATTAAAAAATTGCATATATTACATGCTTAATTGAATGCTTGATTATGATTGGTCAGTTAAGGCATGTGAAGGTCTTGCTCACTTCTTTCTGGGTGCTTGTGGACCATTGTCTGTCCACTTAACAGATTATTTGTGGGTCTGTGCACATGTGTGAGAAAATGAGTTTGCTGTGTATCAAAAATGGACACATTTCAATAATATTTTTTTAACTCTCCTAGTCAGCAGGAAAGTGCACATGAATGCAAAAAATATTTGTTCCAACATTAAGAGAATTTCTCTGTTTCAGCTTAGTTGGCAGTTTCATTTCCTTAAATTTTTGTATAATACTTACTCACTCAAACTCCAATTGATGTTGGTAGATAAAATGGGAATAAAAACAGAATACAATGACTTGCAAATCCTTTCAACCTATATTCACTTGACAATATGACACTACCATTCAAATATTCATTTTAATGCCATCTCTGCCATAGGGGACATTTTTATAACACAAGTTCAGTGAAAATGAGAAGTCATCCCCATGCTGGTATTGTTCTCATGCCAGCAAGCCATTATGAGATGGACTGTCTTCACTTTTCTGTCTTGCCCCCCCAACATTCATGCATTATTTATCCACCCGCAGCAACCCAACTTCCTCTTCCTCCTGCCCCCATGTCCCCCCTCTGTCCTTAGTCCTTCTGGGATCTATAAAAATCAGTTGAGCTGTGTCATTTAGATGAGTCAGAGAGGATATGTATTCTCCTTAAGGTAAAAACAACAACAAATAAAGGTCGGACATATATAAAGGTGTTAAAGGAGACCTGTAAACTGTCAGGTGTCTGTAATCTCTTGTTTCTGATGACAACTCAAAAAGCATTAATTAATCATACGCGTACATACTTTATCAAAACTCCTGTAAGGCGGTTATGAAACAGATAAAAATAAAACTTTATGTGACAAAAATTAACAAAACTACCAGCAGCTGTTATTAATATGGTTGTTTTAAAAGCCTCCAATTGATGTCTGGTGGTAGGTTAGACTAAAAAGGTAACTCTCTGCCAGAACAGCCTCTATTTCCATTTTCTAATGCGAAGGTTTATAGTTAGTGAGATGTCTTGATTGTTAAAGACAACAGGATGATATTTTTGTTAGAGAAGACAAAACATGAAATGTCCCCAGGGGGTGCCAAAGTAGATGCAAACTAAATGTTACCCAAAGAAATACTGGCATATTGATAAAGATGAAGCTTCAGCCTAAAGATCCTTATGAGCAAAAAGTTAGACTGACATTAGTTATGATACCTGCCAGGAAGATTGGTAACAGGTTGCAGCTTGATAATAAAGGAACGTTCCTGAATTGCTCTGGACTTAAAAGTCAAACATTTTAAAGGAAATAAATACATCAACTCTCTTTTAATGAAGCTGTTATTTCTATTTTTGGATTTGATTGAGCGATCTCTGTGTTCACATCATTAATGAACATTAATGAACAGTTAAAGAAAGATATAAAAAGATCATTACTTTGCAGCTGGGATTTTCACTTTATGAGGATGGTGCATGGACATGACAGGGTGTAAAACATCAGCTTGTAAACTTCACAAATAACTCATTTAATTCTCCAAATCATCAGCTGCTTCTCTCCTGTATTCAACAAACTGAACAGGATGGCATGTATAGTCATGAACTGCAGCAGAACGCTACGTGCTCCACAGTTTATATCAGGCCAACATTTGGCCTCAGGTGTCAGTCTGATCCAACAGTAGAGTGATTCTTCTTCTGCATAAAGGCAGCAGTGTTATGGTGTGATTTCCACACAGGACAGTTTAGTCAAGAAAAAGACAGAAGTAACGCAGTGAAAGAAAAGTGATGCTATTTTAACAACCTAGACTAAACTCTGGTTTAACACTTTACTTTAAGTTAATTTTTTGCTTTCTTTGTCTTTTTAAACATGAGAGGAAACATCCAACCAGTGTGAATATCAGGTTTCTAGCTTGGGGGAGTGTTCACTGTCTGTTCAGTGCTGTCCATGTGGCTGCATGTCTTCAAGCACTGATAGACAGTATAACAAGGTCATTTAAATGCTCCAGGGAGAAATAAAACTTCCATGCAGGAGCAGACATTGTTCTTCAATGCTTTTATTCCCTTAACTTTAAATGTTTTGAGAGGTATGGTACAAAGAATACATGTGTTGTTTTATAAGATATAATGTGCACTAGCTTTTTACCGACTCATTCTTACAGCTGTAGAGCCTTTGTTATCTTCAAGTGTCTTGAAAAAGCTCAAAAAGTCTTCAGTTTTCCCGTAAGGACAACAGGAAATGCACAATCAGTTATGTGAGGTATTTTGGTATCAGCATTCACAGAGGCCTGACCAGACCCCATCTCTATTTCCCAGTGGTGTACTCAGAGGAGAGACAAGAGGTGTGATCATCCCTATTTGGTGCCCAAAGGAAAAAAATAAAGCAACATTGCCTTCTCAGATACTCCTGAATTTCCAACCTGAGCTGTTGCATAAAGAATAAAGAATGAAGGGAAGTAAGGGAGGACCCCTTTGAAATGTTGCTTAAACAGCTCATTCATCACAACTTCATCACAACAGTTTGTGCTCCTTCACTGCCCCTGTCCCTGAGACAGCTCAGCTACACCACTGCAATAAGAACATTTCCTCTTTTGGTTTGACATTTTCTAAAACAGTTTCATTTATCAGAACTGTCAACGATAATCTTCAAAGTTGTTTGAAAGAGGAGAAATTGCAGAGTTACATTTATTCCCAGTCCAATTGGCGTTTCACTTACTGAGACGATTCAGTCTGTTAACCACATGCTTAATGAAGGATTGAGACTTAATTTGTCAAGCGATAAAAATTCAACATGGTTTTTCCAACTCAGCAGGAAACTTCTCAGGGTAAAGCACGTAACGAGAGAGAAGAGGAAGTTCGTTCGTATGTATATGAAAGTGTGTGTGTGTGTGTGTGTGTGTGTGTGTGTGTGTGTGTGTGTGTGTGTGTGTGTGTGTGTGTGTGTGTGTGTGTGTGTGTGTGTGAAGTGGGCGTGGACAGGGAGATGCCTCTTTCCCTGAAGCCGCAGAGCTGAGCGTGTCAGTCGAAAGAGCCAAGCAAGAGTGAAAAGCGCACAGAGCCGAAGACCCAATGGGTCAATCTCAGCGACTTTACGCACTGACTGGACTCTGTCTGATGCTAAAACTTCTTTTCCTCGTGGACTGAATTTTATTGACACACTTTCAGAAAAGACAAGTTTTTTGGAGAGTTACCTTTTTTCCCTGAAATAACTCGTGAGGACGCAGCGATGACAGCTGAGTTTATTTGGCTGGTTCGAAGTTGCTAAGACCCGCATCCTACTACATCCAATCTGATTTCAGCTTTTGGAAAGATTTGGAAAGACACAGGATGAATTCTGCTTTCATAGCTGTTTTACTCGGAGTGGTGAGTATCCTCTTACATAATCAAAGTGTGCGTTGAATGTTTGCCCTATAGTTAACTGGAATAAACCCTGGCAGGAGCACCTGCGTTATTACGCACCCAAATGGCCAAATAAGACAGATAGAAATTCAAACCTAAGCGTTTCTGAGAAACTTCTTTTTATCTCCCCCTTTAAGTTTGGAAATGTTTTTTTTTTTACTGGATTTTTGCAGAAGTGTTATAGGTTACACGCTCTCTCCTGCATCCTGAAATCATAAACTTACCTAAAAACAGCTTTTAGTATCACGAGTTTGATCTCTTTTATGTGCTTCTTGTTAAATCTGATCCATAGGTCTAGAAAGTAAGAGTCTGTCCTTGCACCTGTCCTTAGTGTATGCATGCAGCCATTCAGGTCGACACTTTATAGCTCCAGTTGCTGGATGGAGTTCCACCCTTCTCAGTTACATGACAATAACAATGTGGCTGCGGTCTCCGAAGAGCTTACCGACTAATAGATCAGGATGATTTTACTCATTTTTTTCCCTCCTTAACCAGAAAATTGACGAAAATACAAGAGAACTCTGATTTCCTTGAGCCTGTGCAGATTGCAGGAAGGAAGTTAATTTTGTTTTATCTGTCAGGATATGACAGTCAGTCACTGTGCGCCAAGGTCCTGGTTTAGGAACAGGCTGCATCATTGATATCTGACAGCTGCTCCCACTGATGGCTATGCATCCTCTGCTGGCTCAGCGCATGCAATATTGATACTGCCTGAACCCCCCCACCCCCCCACCCCCAACACTCACACACACACACACACACACACACACACACACACACACACACACACACACACACACACACACACACACACACACACACACACTGTACCCCTCCTCCTTCCACCTCATGCTCACATCACCCTCTCCTACTCTGTCTCCCTCCTTCGTACGAGATGATGATGATTCAGCTTTGTTTGAAAAGACATTAGTTGTAATATCTTTGTCATTGTGGTTCCAAAGATCCAGTGCTTGATTTAAATGAGAAGCAGCTTTATTGTGAAGCTGCTGATGTGAGACTCTAATGGCCCTACAAGCACTGACAGCTGAGGCACAGGGGTTAAGTGCCTCTGACTGAAAATTGACTGCAGCATTAGCAAGATTGGTTGTGCTCTTCAGTTATTCATCCAGATGCTTCTCGCACTTGCATTTGTGTTCGTGTATGTTGGTCGCTACAGAGTGCATAATCAGTTTGCTGTAGCTTCAGGGAGATCATCTGATAAAAGTTGAAGAGTGCAAACTCTCATTTACAAAACAACAACAGGAGAAAGTCGAGCCACAACTTGCAAAGTGCTGCACATCATTTCTCTTATTACACTAATCACATTGTAGATTAGTTTAGCCGTAAATGCTCAATTTTGGAGTCATTAGTGATGGAGATCAGTTTTCAGAGTCTGGTGTTTTTTGTTGTTGCACCTTCACCTCAAACTGGAAGAGAGTCAGAGGAAACAAACAAAACCACAAAGTCTTTCACTGGGACGCTTGGAGTGTTTTCAGAAGTGTCATTCAAACATTTCAAAGCAGGTTTGTTCACATGCGAGGTGAATGCGTGTCAGTGTACAAGGGGGCAGAGCAGGGTAAGATAGAGAGAGGAGGTGAGCGTGTGTGGTGACAGATCTGCTTCAGATAAATGCTTGTTGGTGGTAAGGTGTGTGTGTGAAGTAGAGTGAAGATAGTAAAACTTTTACTATAGTGACACATTTTTGATGACAGTTTTACAAGAATCACATGTTGATACATGCAGAGAAAAACTGCATTAGGGGATTTCTGACTTTAAACCTGGTTTAAAACAGACTAGAATTAACACTGGTGTCTCGCCATAACCTGCACGAGCAAAAAAAACCACCAGCAAGAAGCTGGAAACCTTTAATATTGCAAACTTTTTTTTAAGTCTGCTGTTAGGGAGCTGGAGTCAGACCAGACAATTAACTGCACACAAGAAACTCCCGTTTTTACAATTTCAAAAGCAAATTTGAGCAATTAGTGGTACATGTAATTGTTCAAAGAAAGAAAGAAAGTGGGATGAGATTTCTTGTCAGGACAAATTACATGTAAAGCAAAGAGATACGAGGTGTTTCTTATTCCAAACAGAAAGTTCCTCGCAAGGTTTTTAAATCAAAACTCCTGATTTTGTCATGTTTTTGTTACATCTGTGGTTTAAGATATGAAATGAGGTTTGTTTCACCATCATGCAAGAGTAAGAGAATTGTCCTCATTAGCAGAAAGATTGAAGTAAAAGCCTCTTAAAAAGGTGAGGAGTAGGGAGTACATATTTCTCTTTCATAATGTCGAGTAAAAGTAAAATCATTCTCTAAAAGTAAAGTTTTAAATCACCTTTGTTTAGCAAAAGCCTTCCACCTGTCAAAACAGCTAACTTTAAATTGTTTTCATATGCTAAATGAAAAATTATAAGTCAAATATTTCACCTCAGTTTCAACAAAACATTCTAAAACATACACAACATGGATAACTGAATACCAGAGACTTTAAGGTGAATGGGCCGTGACACTATTGAGGGCAGGAAGGAGGCGTGTTATGTGTTTGTGTGTATGTGCACGAACACACACACACACACACACACACACACACACACACACACACACACATTACCTGCCAGCTGACTCAGAGGTGCCTGAGGGGATGCTTGATGTTTTTTAGCACTCTGCGCTCTTGTCAGCAGCATTCCACACACACCTGAACCCTGACGATTTATGTCGAACATACCTCGAAACACACATCTACACACGTCTACCTTTGGACAAGTGTTTGGTTCAATATTTTAGGCCAAATTTACTCAGTCAACCAAATGACAGTGTTTAAGTCCAGAGTGAGTCAAGATTTTTTTGCTCTCTTAGCTCCAATTTTTTCTGCCAAGAGAGGAGAAATTCACTCCTGCTAAAAGAATCAGTCCTCTTGTGGCTGCAGAGGACAAAACACAGACTGCCCCCCACGGCTCAGGGTCAAAGGTCAATGGCTGCCTTTTATTCAGGTTTGCTCTGGGGATCAGTGTATACACATGATGAAAAGGACCCGCTGTGTGAAAGGAAGATTTAGTATGATTTAATGTAAAAGGCCACACAAAGACAGAGGTGGCCCATAAACAGACACTCAGAGACACATCCAGGCTCACACGTTGACACTAGCGTAGGTGGAGGCATGCACAAACATCTTCACCTGTCAACAGCTGAGATAAAACACTCAGCAGGTTACTGTTTGAAGAATTCGGAGGATACATAATCCAGCTTGACCTGCTGTAAGATTTGTGTACTTTTGTGACTGTAGCGGCGATCTGAGACATGTCTGTTTTTGTCAGAATGCTTATATTTGTCCTATTTAGTCTTATGTACATAATACAGCTGTGTGCATGCAAAATGTGGTGGACAAGAGAAGAGGTTCTCAAAATCTCTGCCATCTTTACATTATGGGTTCCTCAGCATGTATGTGTTGTTTAAGCTCACAAAAGAATGTGATCAAAAGCATTTAAAACTCTGAAAGGACCTGGGAAAATGTTGTATTTTTGTAGTTAGACTCTTCATCTTGTATTGTTTAAACTCCTGTATCAGTCCCACAAATATTTGGATTTATCTTGCAGCTTGTTTCAGAACCTTGACCCCAGGACAGGAAACAATGAGTCAGCAGATTCAAAGTGAATCAACAGCTGTGCAAGACATTTAAACAAACCAGATATTAAAAAATCCTCAGATTTGCAGGGTTTGTTTACTCTAATTTGGCCTTTTTGCAAGATTCTGGATAAAGATAATATCTGTCAGGGCTGTGGAGATAAGCAATGAAGGAACCATCAAGTGCACAATGATGTATATGGCAATTAAAAATAAGCAAATTAAATTCTTTGTCAACACAATAAACAGAGCCGTTTTCATGTGGTCATGATGTGTTATTTATGCTCTTTACACTGTGTAACTTTAAACCTGCAAGTCTGACTCTGAACGATCTCTGTGTTGATTGACAGGTCGGGGTTCTGGCCAATAAGGAGGAGTGTTATTCAGGACAGTACACGACCAGTGGAGAGTGCTGCCTGCAGTGCCAGCCGGGCGAGGGAATGGTCAAACCATGTGGGGCCACTCAGACCGTCTGCGCCCCCTGCCTGGACAGTGAGTAACAACAAAAACAGATGTGTGAATAAACATGTACTAATCAGCACGAGTGTGTACTCTAAGAACTGCTACATTGCCTGAACTGTAATGAAATCGGATCGTGATTTAGAGAACAACTGACAAAATAAAGTCATACTCCTAAAACTGCTGAGAGGAACTTGTTTAAGTAGCATACACAAACAAAACAGAAATAGTACAACAAAAAATCTTTTTGACTGTCAGTGGTGGTGTTGAGTGTTGAATGTTGTGCAAGCTTATGTCTTGTTCTTAAATTAGAGCTTGATGAATGATCTGTTTCCTATCGAGTAAAAAAAAATCTGGAAGGGAAGCAGCATAATGTGCATCAAACTCTATCAATGTCTTCATACATCAGCCTCACATTATTGATCGTGCCAAATGTAGGAGTGAAAAGAAGATCTGAGGACAAAGGGTGCTGATACTGTTACAATCTGGTGTTAAACAAAATGCGAAAGGAACCAAATTCAGAACAAAAAAAGGATTTACTTAAAAGGAACTAAAAGAAAAGCAACAAAAACTTGCTTTAAATGTCCAACGGAAAAATTCCTAAGTGCAAAAAAACACAAGAAGCAAAATCCAAAGAAACAAAAATCACAAGGGGCAAAACCACAGGGAGCAACAGGGGACACAAAAAATACACATTGACATATATTCACACAATGAACCAACAAAGAAACAGGGGAAGACAAGGACTATATATACACACAGGGAAACGAGCAACGAGAGGCAGGTGATTACTAATTTGACCACATTATTGTTGAAATAATGAAAAAGTGTAACAGGCACCTGATAATAATGCCTTGAAAACAAACAATAAGCTCATTTTAGTTTGTTAAAGCTAAGAGTGAGAAAAGTAAGCAAGTAAGCAAGTAAACAAGATGCCAAATGTAACTGTGCGCCAGTAGAACTGCTCTCCTTGTGGCCCTTACCATGTAGGGGAAGGAGCTCTGTTCAGCTGTGAGACTTTATGTGGACAGCGATGTTAAGAGGATATATAAGTGGGAGCTCTTCCAAGGTTTGTTGCAAGAAAAATGCAGTGGAAGATTTTCAGGATGGTCAAAAAAGATTATTTGGTACATTTAAAACAGGCGGTATGAAATTAACAGAGTGAACAAAGCTGCTATCAGAGGAGCTTGAAAAGGATATTGAAGGTTTTCTCAGGAGGTGTATTTGTGTTTAGGTCTGGCAGAAATAAAGGAAGATTTAAGGGTTTTCATAACTCTATCAAGTGAGGTCAAAGGTCAGCTCAAGTCTGCAGAGGCTAGAGTTGGTCCATATCCAGTTGCTGAGTTGTTCCCAGAGTTCCCCCCTCACGCAAATTCCCTGACTATTCAGGGTCCAGGCAAGGAAGTGGCTGTAAACCTTCTTTTGGGTCAGTGAAAGATGGAAAACCATTAGCCAAGGACCCCCCCAGTTAGGAGAAGATTCAGACTTCAGGTCATGAGAGAAGTCACAGAGACTGTGAGTGTGTAAAAGGGATTTATTTGAATTTTTGTGGCTTTCTTCAGGATGATGTATGTTTTTATAAGTGTTTCTCAGAACAAGAGTTACATTTTGAAAATAAACTGCGCCTCTACACAAGCCCTCTCTTGCTTATCATGAATTATCTATTGGATTATTTGAATAAAACTCCTGATTTTTTGCTCAAATTATCTGATTTATTGATATGAACTGTGTCTGTGAGGTTGTTTCTTTCTCTTGCACAATATGTGGGTTTTCTGAGAGATAAATTTCAGTCTTAAGTGCTTGTTCTGTTAAGACATGAACAAACACAGACATAGGCAGGATCTCAAAGCTTTCATGAGGCCAGACATGTTTTGCACTAGCTCATGGAAAAACAGAAATGCAAAGCAGAGAGCTCTCTATCAGATAACATCATGGTGATATTTTAAAAGCACATCAAACATATTGATTATATCGCTAATGCAGCCTGATGGAGCTGGCAGTGCATGTGCAGGACAGTTTTACAACAACAAGTCTTGACCATTCGTAAATATACAGCCTTTACCTGTGAAGGTAGGTGGCTAATGCGTACTTAAGCTGTTGCTACTTATGCTATACATCTGTCAAGAAAGCTAGATTTGGGGAATAGAAGCAGACTTAAAATGTATATAATAATATAATAGGTCAGATCTTTTTGACACTGTCCCTTACAACAAGATGTCATGTAAAAGGCCCTCATATTTGTTGGTTTCTACTTTTAATACAACTTATATTAAAATATTCAGAGTCTCTGAAGCACCTTTTTCTAATTACAACAGAACCCATTTTCTTGAAATGAAGAGCCTGCTTTTTGAAATCATCTGATTGAGATTGCAGATTGCAGATCTGTTGTTTTAAGAGTACAAACTGATGTTTTATTGGCAAACATGGTGACCAAATGTTGTAAATATGCCACATTATCATTTGGGCTTTGTTTCAGAAGCAGCAGAAGATCAGGCCTCAATGAACAGCCCTTAAGTGCTAAGGCTTCATTATTTCATGAATTAAAAATATTAAAATGCTTTTTGGGCTACCTAATAGGATTTTTGAGTCCAAGCTTAGTGGTTATCAAAACACAGAAGAGATAAGTAACTCAGATCACATCTCAAACAATTTTTCTTGCCAAATTTCTCTCAACAACAACACTCAACCACCAGTTTTCCTTGCAGGTGTTGTTTTAGGCAAAGCGCCCACCGTTGTTTCTGTCCATGTGCACAAATATTCATTAAAAGAGGTGGGCTGGGGTTTCCAACCAGCTTTCAGGCTTCATTTAGTGAGGACCAGGGCCTTGGACTGATACGCTAAAGTGGACAGTTAGCTTGCACACACAGGGGTGAGTTTGGATGAATGAACAGATAAGTGGAGATGAAACAGAGCATGTACAGCTGTACTGCTGGCACTGAGACAAGGACAACTTCTCGGCCAGCACACACTCACTCACACAGGCACATAGAAGCAAAAAAGAAAAAAAACTCCTACACATGCACTAAACACACACACACACACACACACACACACACACACACACACACACATCTCATGCAGTCTGGATAGAGTCCTTTTAAGGGCGCTGAACAGAGAGCAAAAGGTTGTCAGAGCAGGAGCAAACCTACTGTTATGATATGATATGCTGAGCCTGGAAAAGGCCGCCTGTGAATAACCCCCCCCATTCTCCACCACAGCTCCCATCAACCCCCCCCCCACAGACACACACACACACACTCCTCCCACAAGCTGCAGCCTCGCGTTATTAATGTATTGACTTGCATTATTGATGCATGGCATTATGATAATGGCTCTGAGAGCACACATAGGGAGGGAGGTTGAGGGTAGCCTGAGTGTGTGTATCTGTTGGAGAGAGGGAGATAATGGGGTGGGGGGTCTGGAGGGTGGGGGTGACACTGTATGACTAGACACCACTAGGGATTGAGGGGATTCTGGTTTGTCCACTTCCTATAAGGGCATAATTAAACAAAAATGTGAAGGAGGGAAATCTGACACCACCGATTGAGGAGGGAATCACACAAATGGATTCATCTCAAATGACACAGTGTCTGCTTTCTTCTCATCTCTCCGTCTCAGCGTCTATCTCTCCTCATCTCTGCTACAATCTCTGCATCATCGGAGCGTTTGTCTTGGTTGGTGGGCCAGTGGCACAGACCGAAAACTTGATATGCTATCAGATACTGAGCTGCTGAGAGTCCTCACCCATGCTGTCTGCTACCACACACAGTTCAGGTTTTGAGCCAAATTTCCCTAAATGATCTCTGGAGGCTGCTTTGGGAACATTCAGTTAGCCATTTTTTATTCGTCTAATGAGTGTTTTTATCTCACATTTAGATTTTTAAGTATTTTTTATGCTGTTTCAGCTTTTATAATAGTATCTCTTCTCAGTTTTCCATTAAAGGTTATTACTTTTTAGTTGCAAAATAGTCAAGAAAATAATCAGAAATTATTGAATATAATAAACACAACAGTTGTATCTCTAGTTTAGGGTTAGCTGACTGTAAAAAGTGATTGGGGTGAAATCAACTGTATAAATGAGACTTCATAATTGTGTTTTCTGTTTTTCTCCCTGCCCATCTCTCTAACTTTCTCTCTCTCTCTCTCTCTCTCTCTCTCTCTCTCTCTCTCTCTCTCTCTCTCTCTCACACACACACACACACACACACACACACACACACACACACATACACACACACACACACACACTTTCGCAGAAGCTGCTCTTACAAATAGGTCTGTTGCATTATTTAGTGTGTTTCCCAGTTCTCTATCCAGCCGAAATACAATTCCATAAAACATGCAATATTGATTGTGTCCTCTGTAGACCCACACTATCAGTCCGAGGAAATCTTTCAGATATCCCAACCATTAATATGTTTTTAGAGTCCTTTCTTTCATACTCATGGCAGAAAACCCTCAAACTGAAGAGTGACTTTAGTGAGCTAATTTCACATTTGTTGAAAAAAGCCTTTTGACAGAAAACACGATACACAATTTGAGACCAAAACACAGATTTTCACCCTAGTATCAAAACGAACCTGGTGGACCATCACGCCCGTAATTACCGGGGCTAACTCAAACTATCATTTGGGTGACACAGACTTTTCAGCTTTTCCATAATAGATGCAATGAGACTCATACAAGAAATTATCTGAAAGAAGACAGCCATTTTTATTACATTTCATTCTGACCCCTGAGGTTAAGTCAAGAATGCATAGATAATTTCTTGCTTTGCCGTTTTGTTACAAGATGATCTGCAACATCTGGAAAGTAAAACACATGAGGAAGGAAGAAAAACTGCATTTCTTCAGGTGTCCACTTGAAGCTGGTTCTAAAACCTGAGGAAACCACGAATGAAAGTGAAAACATCGGAATTAAATATGCCGATAGCCTTGTAACTCAAACAGATTTGGTTTCAATACATTTTGCCTTTGTTTGTTTAAACTGTATTGGGATTGTGTAATTGGATAAAGCAACATTTTACATCAGCTTTGTTTTGGCTTCCTTATGCGTTTTAAGACATCAAAAGGTGAAGTTGCATGTCAGCAACCCGACAGATCAAGATTATTATGATTTTTTTCTTTCCTCTGCTTTCAGGTGAGACCTTCTCAGAAAACTTCAGTCACACAGAGAAATGTCAGCCCTGCACAGCATGCACAGGTCTGCTCCGCATGAAGGCGCCCTGCACAGACTCAAACGACGCCACCTGCGTGTGTAACTATGGCTACTATCTAAATGAACTCTCACAGCGTTGTGAACCCTGCACCAAGTGCCCTGAAGGCCAGGGCATGCTGTTTAGCTGTGACTACGACCACGACACGGTATGTGAGGAGTGCAACGGGGACACGTACTCGGACCAGGAGAGTTCTCGGGAGCCCTGCATCCCGTGCGCCACCTGTGATGAAGGAGAGATGTTACAGCCCTGCTCCTCTATTAGTGACACAGTCTGTCAAGGTAAGACTACTTACTCACACACAGATGATGGTGGCGGTGCACTCACATCACTTCAGAGAACATAATGTGCCAACCAGATTAATAACCTGTCACACCCCAAAATGGCCTTCATTGTTCTGCTATACTCAACAGGTTGTGTGCTGTATCTGTGTACTCAAAAGTGTCACATGACTCTTTGTGAACAGGATATTAAGTCCCAAATGTTTAACCCTTTAAGCACTGAAGCCATACGGGCTGATTTATAAGATATTCATAAGGCTGAGGGGAAAAAATGAAATACCCTGCATTCTGATTTACTCTTGAGACTGAACAATGAATCTACTTGTTCAGAGATTTATTTTTCAGCTGTTTAGCAAATGGCTTTGGGTTGACCCTATCCAAACACTGGCTAAATTTATTATGAACCTCTATGCAGAGCAAGCACAGTTGAATGATGGGGTGCACCGACCAAGGTCACGCTGGCCTGAATAGAATCTAAGTGTGCACATGTTCGCACTGCACGGACAGTATGATGAGCCTGTCGTTCATACTGTCAGCCACATAATTGGATCATCTCAGCGCCACATTGTAGGAATTGTTGGCCCGTCGACCTAAATGCCACACCGAGCCTTGTCGCATTGTCCTCAAGACTCATCTCATTCACAAATACAAAGAGCACACTCTGTCCATGACGAGGGTTTAGGAGAAGGTCATATCTCTGAACGGGTCTCTGAATTTCTTTTATATCATGGCACCCTGTGGGTATCACTCTTGAAATCAGGAATTCCTCATGCCTGCAGTCACTGCTCATTCTAATGACCCGATGCCTCACAGATTAAATCAACGCTTTTGTGAAATGACAATAAAAGGACTCTGTTGATGAGCCATGCAGTCCACTGGGGCAGCGGTTTGAAGGATGTTGTTATCACAGTGTTGAGTACAGAGCAAGTCCCAGGGTGAAGGAAGTCTTTTGTGCCGCTCCCGTGATGCAGCTTGGCCTGTAGGGGCTCTTAGTTCAGCCCATGAGGCTACTTGAAGAGCCAGTAATGAATGAAACAGACAGTGAAAGTCATGTTCTTTGTGACTGTTTCCTGTGTTCTGTCCTATTTTTGGTTTTTCATTTTTCTCATTCATCTTGACTTTTAAAGTTAGGATACACTGAAGGGCTTATGATTGTGATCTTGCATGTGACAGAAGGTCTGTTCGACCTTGAGGAGGATCCTGACAGAAATTTAGCTCCTTATGCCACTAAAGTAAAAAAAAAAAATTTCTGTCAGGGAATACAACCTATTTCTGCTCTTCCACAGGGGGGCGCCAAAATCAATGTAAACTAAAAGTTCCTCACAGGAGCTTTAGATGACCAAAAGTCAGCACTTGGTCCAGGCCAAAAATCTCTGCAACATTGTCACACTGGTTGTCAGATAATTTCCCAGCCCCAGCATGATTAAATATGATATCTTTCTCCTCTCTCTCCTTGCATTTCTTGTTGCTCTCAAGCCATTCTACAAAATAAAGGCAAAAAAATTAAGAATAACTTCAAAAGGAGTATAAACACAATTGTAGTTGCTTACTAAACTATCCCTAAAAACAAAACAATATATTTGCACTAAATAAAAAGGAGCAAATGACGAACAGCAATCCATCTATACAGGTTTGCTTGAAACACGGGGTCCACTCACTACATTGGTTGGTCATCAATGAATCATTCATGCTGTTTTTGAGATGAGGGTAATGACTAATGTTGTCACAAATGACTAGAAACACAGGGAATAAACTACTACAAAATAAAACAGGAAACACAGAAAACTGATGTAAAAAATAAAACACAGAGAACAGGAGGGAAACAGGGTCAAACACAAACGGAAAACTCTCAAGACTGGACTACAGGAGAACAGGAACAAGAGGGAACAGACACACTAGGGAAAATACAAAAAATGTACTCAAATAAAACCAGGAGAAGAAAACTAAATTAACAGAACATATCATTACAATTTTTTTTCACTTTATGTTGTTGTTGGTTTCTCTTAAACCGATAAATGGATCCTTATCAATGTTTCGTTACACTCCTAACTTCATTTCAAGAACAAGGATGAGTTTACAGTAATTGGATTGTGCTTATGTTGAAGCTGCTCTAAAGCAGGCAGGCACACAACAGCAGGGCATTTTGTTCTGTTTTAAAAAGGGACATTGGCATCAACCGTTTTCGAGCTGTCATTGCGATTTGGTGATGTCAAAGCTCCTACCACTTTGAATTTGCTGACAGTTGTCGTATTGTACACTAACTTTAGGTACTGTTACTTCACTGAAAGCAGCTAATAAGTCATTGAATTGTTTCACCCTGAAAATTTCTGGATTAATATTCCCAATCAGTGGTTTTATGCCCTTTTAGCATAACATTGAGTTGAAAATAAAGACTACATAATTATTGGATGGAGTGACAGTTCCCAAAAGGGAAGCCAAAACATTTAAATATATATTTGAAGGAAAACCAATTTCTCTCAAATACAGTTTCTGTGATTAGATTTATGTATCCATTTTTTTCTTGTGCAATTTTGCTTGAATTATTTATTCGTTGCAATAAAAATGTAAGTCTGAAGAGAGATGGCTGCCATGTGGACATGGTTAATTAATAATGACGCTTCTGTGCTGCTTAATTTAACTTTTAGAGTGGGTAGTGTTGTGGTTTGAGAGATGATTCATCCAAGATCAAGACCCAATATAAGGATCCAGAACCCCAATCTTAAAACATCCTTCGAGATAACTAATGCAGCACACATAATGATGAATGTGTATTTATTGTGATCCCAAGCATGATGGGCAGTGTATGGCCTTTATCATCATACTTTATTCCTCCTGCTAACTCAATCATGTGCTCTTTATTCCTAATGTAATCTTTTTGCCAAAGCACAAGCATTATCAGCTTGTACAAATCAGTACAGCCAGACGTCCATTTCCATTAGTGTTTTGGCGACACAGGCCTGAAGGCTAAACAACATCAGGAGGGTGGAGGGGAAAAGAGGAACCCACACAGACACAGACACACACACACACACACACACACACACACACACACACACACACACACACACACACACACACACACACACACACACACACACAAGGCTACTTGCCCATGAAAGACAAGTTGTAACTTGGGACATTGGAGAGTTTTTACTGTAGAACATCTTTAGAAAGGGAACTGGATTAACTGCTGTCACTGTTTGGATTGAACTGAAGTTTAAACTGGTGGTGAATTTTCCTCTTCGATTTTGCACCCCTGTATGTGGACACAAGCTCGGTTGAGATGTGGGGTGAAAATCCAATTTCCTCCCACACTTCTAAAGGGATTAGTGGTTTGTTTAGAGTCTCACCATTGAAAAAATATCACTCTCTTCATTCCTCTGTGATGATAAAACACCATAATGCTGAACTGGCATTGTTGGGATAGACCCTCAGAGTTGATGGTCTAAAAGGAAAGATGCTTATCTAAAGGAGTGTGAGATGACTTCCACCCTTCTGCAAGCAGCCAAGCAGGGTTGGAGGTCGAAGGTCATAGGAGGCCTGTATGTGTAGGGGGTCTTTGTGGGAAGATCAGGCAGTGCTTGTGTCTCCTGGGGATGTGAGCAGAACAACATGGTTTAATCCCCCAGTACTCTTAGGGGTCACAACAACATGAGACAAGTGAAATTGATTAGCGCGCTTATTAGCCACCCTTCAAAGTCACAGCAACTTAGCTGACTCAGATTGGCAAAGAAACTAATACTGTATGGGCAGACCTCGACAGACAGTGATATTCATGAAACTGGCAATATGGTCTGAACTAAATGAAAAAAAAACATGACAAATCAGAAAAATTTAAGTACAATGTTTTCAACTAAAATGTCTGATTCTCATACGTATCAAAATCGTTTTAAAGCAAGAAAGTTTGCAAAAACATTACTGTCATGGTTTATATACAGCAAAATTTAATCCTAGATAGTACTTTTGTCTTTTTCTCATAAAAAAATGTTGTTAGATTTAATTTGTGCCAAATTCACTAGACAAGCCCAAAAAAAGTCATATTTCTCTATATTACATGCCAGAAGTAAGACGAAAATTGCTTGTGATGCACAAAAACAGCCAAGATAATAAGAAAAAAACTGAATTTTTTAATAAACCATTAGTTTGAATTAGATTACGAGTTCTGCTTCATTACAGGCATGGTGGATTTGACCAGCGGGTAGGCACAATGTGGTAATGGCCACATGGCAGAGAACACTGTAGGCCACCTCAAATCCCCTGTGCCCATTGTCGTTCAACTGATAGTTGAGCCAGTATTTCAAACATTGCATCTGCTGTAAATTGGCTTCAATACTCTGCCTCAGACACCAATGGGTGATGTCAATACGGCTTTGCCCATGTTTTGTGGTCTATGTTTTGAACCCCTGATATACAGTGCATCCGAAAAGTATTCATACCACTTCACTTTTTCCACATTTTGTTATGTTACAGCCTTATTCCAAAATGGATTAAATTCCCTTTTTCCCTCAAAAATTCTACACAATATACCCCATAATGACAAAGCGAAAAACTTTTTTTAGAACATTTTGCAAATTTATTAAAAATAAGAACACTCAAATGTTGCATATACCTAAGTATTCACACCCTTTACTCAATACTTGGTCGAAGCACCTTTGGCAGCGTTTACAGCCTCCAGTCTTCTTGTGTATGATGCAACAAGCTTGGCACACCTGGATTTGGGGAGTTTTTCCCATTCTTCCTTGCACATCCTCTCAAGCTCAATGAGGTTGGATGGGCAGCATCGGTGCACAGCTACTTTCAGGTCTTTCCAAAGATGTTAAATCGGGCTCAAGTCTAGGCTCTGGCTGGGCCACTCAAGGACATTCAGAGACTTGTCCCGAAGCCCCTCCTTTGTCTTCTTGGCATTGTGCTTAGGGTCACTGTCATGCTGGAAGATGAAACGTCACCCCAGTCGAAGGTCTGGAGCTCTGTCAGAGTGACCATCGGGTTCTTGGTCACCTCCCTGACCAAGGCCCTTCGCCCCCGCTTGCTCATTTTGGCTGGGCGGCCAGCTCTAGGAAGAGTCCTGGTGGTTCCAAATGTCTTCCATTTCTTAATGATGGAGACCACTGTGCTTTTTGGGATCTTCAATGCAGCAGATTTTTTTCTGTAACCTTCCCCAGATCTGTGCGCCAATACAACCCTGTTTCAGAGGTCTACAGACAATTCTTTCGACTTCATGGCTTGGTTTGTGTTCTGACGTGTTCTGTCAGCCGTGGGATCTTATATAGACAGGTGTGGCTTTCCAAATCATGTCCAATCAGCTGAATTTGCCACAGGTGGACTGCAGTCAAGTTGGAGGAACATTTCAAGGCTGATCAGTGGAAACAGGATGCACCTGAGCTCAATTTTGAGTTTTATAGCAAAGGGTGTGAATACTTATGTATATGCAACATTTGAGTGTTCTTATTTTTAATAAATTTGCAAAATGTTTTTTAAAAAGTTTTTCACTTTGTCATTATGGGGTATTTTGTGAAGAATTTTTGAGGGAGAAAAGGAATTTAATCCATTTTGGAATAAGGCTGTAACATAACAAAATGTGGAAAAAGTGAAGTGGCATGAATACTTTCTGGATGCACTGTAATTTTGTGTCACTATCGGAATGAAGAAATGTGAAAGAATATACGATGTTGCCAGTTGAAGCATTTAATCACAATAGCAAAGGCGAAGAAAAACCTTTATTTTCCACCACCCCAAACAATGTGACAAACTTAATAAAACCTATTTATGTAGATTTTTCTATTCAGACCAAAAAAAATAAACATTGATCCAAAGGTGTTGAACATATCTGTAAAATGTTATCTGACAGCTAAATTTAGCTGGACAGTAGTGCTTGACAATTTTGATTACCATAAAATTAGATTAAGATTAAAAAGCTGTATGAGCTCTTATTAGGTAAGAAATTGGTATGTGATGCATCTAGTAATAGGAATGGTTACATGCTGATGCCTGTCAATTCCAGATAATATGCGATGGGAGTGGCCATCCATGCTAACGCGCTGTGACACAGCCTTTTCATGTCATGGTTGAAGTTGAATGAGCAATGCTTTATTTTGTCAGAGCAGTCACTGCCTGTTCCTATCAGGCTGTGCTCTCAGGCCTCAAGGCTGGTGGGAAACTGAAGCTTTCACTCATCGACCCTGTTCCTCCTTGACTTTGTTGCCTGGATTGACTGCACTCAGTGTGCTGACCTATCACCCATAGCCTGCGTTTCTGTTCCTGTGGCAGCACGGGGCAACAAGTTGAGGTTTGCAGCACCACAGCAATTATATTACTCATGCACGTGCATGCCTTTTGAGGAAATTGAAAGATTAGTCAAATATGAGTCAAAACACACTGCAGACAAGTACTCCCACTCCATAGTCTGAGATCAATAAGATGACTTATTGAGCATTACAGATGTGAAACAGCATATGGGAAAGTGAAGGTCGAGTAGGCGTGGTCTAGAGGAAACCAGAGGTTGAGGGGGGGAATGGAAGTGCATTTGGTTATTGAATTGATAGGTGAGTAGGAGGAGGGAGCTGTTTCCTTCCTGAGGTTGGTTGACCTTAACGATTGACCGGCTGCCCTTTACAAATCAGAAGGAGTGATCTGCTAAGTAACCCCACGCACAGAACCAAGAGCCAGGACTGTTAAAGTAAATCAAGAGAGTCAGACAAGTTTGAAAAAAAGTAAAATGGGGTTTCGTATCTTAGTTTAAGTCAACAGAGTGGTGCATGCACAACTGGAAAGCTTCTCAGTCCCTGTTCTTATGGGTTCTGTTTCCAAGTACATGTGCAATTTAAAATCAAAGCATTTAGGTCTTTTTATGGAAAGGTCAAAAGAAGGGGTTTTTCGCTATAAATAACACTGTGGCTTTCTAAAAAACATTCGTCTGTGGGTGATGTAAATAGTTGCAGCTATAAAGCTAACTTCAGTGAATATATGCCATCTTTGGCTGATTTGAATGGCTTCAACTAGTTTAGCTCCCCAGAAGGAGGTCTTAAGGTGTGCCCTTGATAGCTTTATGCTTTCATGAAGACTGTGGCTAACCCAGATAAAGTGTCAACACTCTCAACAGCTGTTTACTCATGAAGCAAGTGTTATCAAACCCTAAAACATTCACAACATTTTTAAACTAATTTCTTTATCATAAAACCTATACAGCTGATTTGCCTATAAAGCAAATGGACACAGACTGGGCTTAGTTTTTTCTTAACAGAGCTGCTTATGTTTGCAACAATACAGCCCATCTTGGACCAACTATCGCACCGTGGTGAAGTCATTACCAAAGAACTGCAAAGAATCTTGGTTTTGGAAGTAAAAGCAGAGCAAATCCTAATGAAAGCAAACTAATTTTCAAGACATTCTAAATGATCATGTATTATCATTGACTGTAAACTTACAATTTCATGGATTACTAGATAAAATTCTTGTACATTTGGTATTGAAAGGTTAAGCTAGGCACTAAATTCCAAACAGTCTGTCGTTTTTTCTAGGGTATGTGCACCATCCCAGCATAAAATTCCAAAGCTTGACAGGAGCTCAGAGGATCCCAGCAAGAATCTGACAGATAGCGAGACAAATGGCAAAACGATAAAATGCCACTGACATTTCTGATTTCTTGAACCCAAAGCATTTTTACATCAATAGCTGTGAAGAATCCTCAACCCCAGTCAGACCAAACAATTCACTGTCTTTGTGTTGCACAGTCATCCATTGTGTGGCCATAGCTTGGACTCCACACATCCTCTGACTTATATCTCTACTGACTTGGGCTCTATGGCCACAGCTGACCTTCTCTTTTTTAACCCTTTTGCCCCCTACTCAACACAGTGTGAGCATTGTTACAACTGATGGTGGTTTTAAAGTCCACTGTGTCTCTTTCACTGCTGCCGTATAAGAATCAATCCCTTGTGGTCGCAACTCAGACTCATTGAGTCGTCTCTCGTCCAACTCGAGGAATTTGGCCCTCGACATTCCAGGGAAAAGTTTTGGAGGTGCTTTGGTATGGGTGACCGTCCTGGTCCAAGGGTGAGGACAACACTTGTGCTTTCGCTCGTGCTGTTCATTCTTTGCCAAAGTTGGATTCTGGTTTGGGGAGTTGAGGTTTATACAATGTACTATGTGTATTGAAGTATTGTGTTACTGCCAAGCCAAGCCTTTTCCTCCCAGTGACATTTATCTTTTCATCTGGCATTGTGAACAGGAAATGAATCAGTGCGCCATGCTGTTAACTGAACTTTATCAAATGATTTATTAGTTTGATAACTTCCTCTGGGCACGGTTATCTCAGAGATTGTTTTTTATCTTATCTAGTTCAGGATCTATGGGGAAATATAACACCGCCTATTCCTGATGGTCTCTGCATAGTATTTTGCTAATCATAACAATGGGCTACTTGAGTTTAAACCTTTAGTTTATGAAAATAGTGACAATTTTTAACAAAGCTTGGGACTACTTCTTGACTGACCCATTGTCGAACCATTTATGAACTGTTAACCAGGGCTTATTGGGGCCTATGATTACCCTTACATGTGCTATCATATTGGCTTTGTGTTTATTTATGAAGCATTTGTTTAAGATAATCCATTATTCTCCACGGCCGTGTTTCTGCCCTCTTTAAATGCAGAACAAAGCAGAGTAAACACAACACTCATTGGTTGGCAGCATCCTCTTCTGCCTTAATTAGCACTTGCATGAGTGCTATCCCCAATTGGACCTTGCCAGCAGTGTTGCAGGGCTATGTGTAGCTTGCAGATGCATCTTTAAATTAGAATTCTGAGCAGCTGTGTAACAGATTTCTTATATTACAGTTTAAATGTGATTTGTGTATCTAACATATTACTTTGTGATCCATTGCCCCCAACATTGTTTTCATCATTTTAAATGTGACAACTCAAACCAAGCATCACAAAGTCATCCCTAGATCAGTTATATATGACCATTATAGCTGCTGGTTTTAACTTAAAACAAAAACTGACCTGTTAGAAGGTGGTGCCAATAATCTCAACAAATGGCAGCATACAAAATAGTTATTTTAATCAGTGGTGAGAGTGGTATACAGGAAGGGGGAGAGCTGCAGTAAAGGGAGAGATGGAGAACGCCTGACAGATGCTGAGAATGTGGCCGGGTCGATAAAAGCGATGGAGTTTCTCCTCTACACTCTCGGGTTTCTCTGGTTGACCTCTATGAGTGCTGATCACATTCTGCCGCAGAACAGACACACACACATTCACACACATATGCAGGCACAAGCTAGTACCCTTTACAAATGGACAAACATGGCATGGGAGCGTGTTCAGTTGGGGCTCATGTAAGATAGAAAAGACGCCTGTAAGAGTTGAGAAAGTGCCAAAAAAAAAAAAAAGAAAAAAGGAAAAAGTTCTTGGATCTGAAGAAATCACAGATGCCAAAAGTGAATTGAAAAACAGGGGTAACAGCATTTTCCAGCAGCACAATTAATCCCTTCTCTTGTGCATGTTGTAACAGCATGAAAACCATAAAAGTGCCTGTCATTGGAGAAGCTGTTCAGGTTTTTGTTTAGCAGGTCTTGGCAGTCCCATAATGACATATAATAAAAAGATATCCTCTAGTGTTGGGACGCCCCTCCTGTTTTTCGTTTTTAAAGCCAGCTTTCAAAATATAGGCAGGAACACCTGTAGTGAGCGTCTGTTTGCAGCAGGTTGGAATGAGGAGTTTGACTCAGGTGTGGCTGCTACCCCACACAAACTTTGGACAGAAATCCCACACATTCTCTCACACACACACTCAAACTGTAAGTCTGTATACCCTCATGTAAGAGCACATGCCATACCAGGTTCCATCTAAATACTTACTCATTTTACTGGCAAGAACACAAGTGCCCTGTCTTCCCATCCAAGGTGAATCATTCATTGACAAAGCCAGGAGTAACATTCCAGTTATTTTACTAACGACAAAGTAATACCTACCATTGATACAACAAATGGTTTGTTGACAGGAGTTGCAGTTGACTTCACCTGCAATTTTTACAGCTACAAATCTGCCAGTGTCAGTGATCCTAATGACAGGCTTTGTCACATTTTGACAAGTTGCATTTTTGTTCCTCCAGACAGAAACCCCTCCAAATTTGCACTCAAACTGTTTTTACCTGGTAAGGTTACATTATCACCACACTGAGATCCTCCCCCCTCAAAATACCCTGAAAATACTTCTAAAAAAAGTGGGATTGTCTCATATTTGGAGCTTAGTAAACAATGAGGTTAAAGCTGGTATATAAACAACTTGTAACCCTGGGAAACAGAATGGTGAGGCGCACAGATAGCTGTATGGGTTAGCTCACTATAGTCCCGGCAGTGAAATATAGAGTGATGTCAGAATTACCCCACGAGTTAAAGATATAGTAGAAGGAAATGGTTGCTCAGCGGATCATTAAAACATCCCAACATGATAACTCTCTGACTTAGAGCAGTGGTACGATAACCACTGAGCTCGCCGTTTAGTGGAAACGAGCTGAGCTCAGCAGCAGGATTTCAATTCCCCCCCGAGGCCAGACCATCCAATGTGAAAGGTTGAGCCAGTGGTTCAGTAAATGCACTTAGGGCCCTGTTTTAACTGTTAATCACTGAGGTAGAGTAATGATGCAGAGATGTAGGAAGTGCATAGAAGGTTAGATGGATGAGATGGATGGCGAATACCTGAAGGATTTGATGTTATAACCAAACAGATCTGACAGAAGTGATGTTGAGTTACATTTTAATGCAGGTACTAAGGGGGAGATGAATAGGGGGTAGGGAGACCTGCCATTGATTGACAGGACAAGAAATGCCTGATAGGGGCGTGTAGCCAGGAGCAAATGAAAAGAAAGAAGAGCAAAGGATGAAGGGATGGGGAGGGGGAGTTTGTGCTGGACAAGAAGATTTCTGTCGATGAATGGTGTCTGGTTTCGAGTGTGTGTGTGTGTGTGTGTGTGTGTGTGTGTGTGTGTGTGTGTGTGTGTGTGTGTGTGTGTGTGTGTGTGTGTGTGTGTGTGTGTGTGTGGACCTTCCACATTCACCAACAGGGCAAATCACAAATATTTTCACTAAAATGCATCAAAGTCAGTGTAGATGAATCAAACTCAGCACAGCTCCTCTTTAACGCTGAAACATTTTTTTTTCACACAACTATTTGCCGGCACCTTAAGTAAGACTTTGTAGTTTATAATTGGTGGAATTCCCCCCAAAATCTACTTGACTCTGACTTTAAAACCGCCAAAAAAGTAAGACTTGAAGGATAGCTTTGGAGGCACAATATGTTAATGTTCCCAGAAGCAGCTCCCAGCATCCGTGTAGATAAGCTCTCATTAAAAATGTTTTCACCTCATTAGAAAAAAAAAGATTCCTCCCATCCAAAAGGTCTCCTGAGGTATTCAAACCCTGAAACAAACAGGATGTTTTCCTGTTGATGATGTGAGTAACTTAAAGTAAATGACAGGCAAGGATGGCTTCCACATCTGCGGTGAGAATCAGTGGTTGAAGAAAGTGGACAGGACTGGATGGTCATGCTTGCTCTTAGCCTCGTTAATGGTTCCCAGGAGTGAAGCGGGGATGACCAAGTGATGTGGGATGTAATGTGTGCGGTTGTGTTTCTTGTATGTGTTTGCAGGATGAGAGCCATTTATGGGTAAACTGGCTGTGGTGACTGAAAGCTTAAGATGGATTGTTTGTGTTTGTTTTACATTTGCACCTCTATTTAAAACTCAGATACAATTTTCCAATCATATATGAGCTGGCTAGAAGTAACCTGAACTCCAAGGCACTAATGCTGCATTCCAGTTTTTTTCACATTGAATTCAGATGTCGGAGCTGGGAATGACGTCACACCCAAGTTGACGACAATCCAGTTAACAAGTCGGAAAACCAAGATGGACGCCCACTGTTAGCTGTTATTTACGATTGTCCGCCGTCGTTAGCCATTGTCAGTCGTTGCTAGCGGTTGTCAGCTGTTGTTAGCTGCTGTCAGCGGTTGTTAGTTGTTGTTAGCCATACCAGTTGTAAACAACGCACAACACAGTATTTTACTCTTACAAACACCATAGCACCGTGTTCACAGTTAGGTGTTGGGCAGCACAACATATACCACTTATTAAATTTCACGAAAAAAAAAACAGAGGTATTAATAAATAATACATTACGAGAGCTTTTACTGTTACTCTTTACTGTTGATGCACTGCACTGCCAGTCGGAAAACTCTGACTTCAGGTGGGCGTTCCGAGTACAACTGGAATGCAGCATAAGACTTCTTATGCTTGAAGAAGCTTTTTTGTCAAATGCATGTTTGCCGCTGATTGCTGTTAGCTTATAAATTACCTTTATAAATTGAAATACTGAAAGTATGTCTGTTTAATGAACGATGTTTAATAATCCTCTTTATAATAGTTAATACAGGGTAAATGCCAGTTATTTAAATATTGCTTTTTCACATACAGCCCTTACAGATTCTTTCTTTTGTCCTTTACAGTTACCTACCCATCAGTTTTCCCCTCCATACCCTTCAATGCTTCCCCCATGCCTCCTGATGATGACTTCCCATTAGACGGACCCCCTGATGGGCCTCCACCAGACGGAACCTCTACGGAAAGCACAACCGTCACCTCCACCAGTGGAGACTCCCAGGAGCGACTCTACCAGGGTCTCAACGACAAACTCATCCCCATCTACTGCTCCATCCTGGCTGCAGTCGTGGTTGGCCTTGTGGCTTTCATCATCTTCAAGAGGTGAGGACAGAGAGGTGAACTCATCTGTTTTGTCTGAGGAGAAAGAAAACCCAGTGCTCATTACAAATTCATTTCGACTGCATAATCCAATCTTGAATGTTGAATTTCCGCGTTTCATATTTAATGAAATCAGCTGCTGCTTTGCTTGGAGCACAGTGGTGTCCTGTGGGCCACCATATGGTCTCACATACTCAAAACCCATGCTGCTCTCTTAATGCCAACACAGACAGCCACTGGTGTGTTAAATTTTAAATGTACAATATGTTTATGTAACTATGTAACTGCTCTCTTTACTCTGGGCCTCCTCTCTGCAGCATGAAGTCACTGCACTCTTTGAAGCATTTCTATCTAAATATATTTCTGAAAGCAGTCATTAGTGCTCCATTTCATATTAACATGTTTTCATTGATCCCATCTTGGCTAATGGTCTTTTAAAGTCAACATCAGAGCACTCTACAAATGTTTTAACTGGTTAACAAATGTAAGATTAAGCACCTGCTCAGGTTTGACTGTAGTTTTTTTGAGCTGTAACACTGTGACAATTTGTCTTTTTAAAAGCAGAGTTCAAGTCCCTAAAGTAAAATTTGTTCTCAAAAAGTTCCTGCATGAGCGAGAGTTCACAGCAGCCGACACAAGTTTGAAATATGATTTTAGTGGTAAAAGAACACACTCTCCCCAAGCTGCTTTGCTTTGTCACGATCTTTATTAACTGTTGGTCAAATACATGTCAAACTCTATTGAGTTTGCCATCTTTTGCCATCCCCTCATCCCCTCCAGAACCACTGGACAAAAATTGTATTTTTTATGTGACAGTGATGGATGCCGTAGGGCTGGATAAAACTTTGGGATGAACTTGAGTATGTGGCCATTAAATTTGTTTTTTGGGTTGGCAGTGTCTTCCACCCTAGTTTCAGAGTGCATACTGCTGCCACGTTATAAAAGCTGTCCCAAGGCACTTCCACTTCCTTTGGTAGTGACTGTCATGTCTGTTCTGCATGTTCAAAGACACCTTTAATGGACAAACTAATAGATAATTTTATGGTAATCCCATGTATACTCTTATCCCCTCACCCTATACTGACTTCTGTATTTCACTTTTTCTGCAGAGCTTTATCAAATTTGTGCCCACGTTTTTCTTATAATTTGTGTTGTACATAGTAAAAGTTTGCAAACTCTAAAAACTGTGTTGCATGTGCCAAAGTACAGCTGACACAGTTGGATTTATGCACGTGCAAACAGTATCCGTAACTCCTCTGAATTGCCTGATCCTCTCTCTTTCCTCTCTTCAGGTGGAACAGCTGTAAGCAGAACAAACAAGGAGCCAACAACTGCACGGCCAACCAGAACCAGACCCAGTCACCTGAAGGAGAGAAGCTGCACAGTGACAGCGGCATTTCTGTGGACAGCCAGAGTCTGCAGGAGCAGCAGGCGCAGACTCAGGCACACACAGGTAACGCACAAATACCTGTATGCACACACACACGCCACTCCCTGTATGCTCAGAAATACAAAAGACCTAATTCATCAAACTTCAATTGGTTGTAAGCCTGAGTCGTCACAATAGTCTGTGTTTATCTCACGTTCTTGTAATGACTTTCTTTTACACCACAGTTAAGTCTGATGGATTGTAAACCTGAAATTTGGGTTTCTGTGATTGTAGACACAGGTTAAAAGAAAAGAATTCCCCCTCAGAACTAAGTTGACTTGCGGCTTTTTTCAGCTCCACCTTGAGTGTGACCTTTCAAACTTACTGTAGCAATCGGCAAACAGAGGTTACAACACTGACAGAACGTCGGTGTTTGCCTTTTTACAGCGGCAGCAGCACGTGCTTCTGGCAGGTTCCAGTCCTGCCCTGACAAACCAGTTTATGAGACTTGAGGACTTTAGAAACCACCAGATAATAGCAAAGGATGAAAACAAAGTTTGCTAGAGGGAAATAGCAGTGTTTACCTCTTTCTCTTGGTTGTTATGGACAGCTTCTAAACAGTCTTTGCTTCTCCACTCCTCAGACAGTCCTTGATCTAAAGTGATGATAGTTATTTGAAACGGAAATTAACAGACAAGAAAGGCAAGTGTATTCTCTTAGTAGCCGAAATCTCTTTTCAGTTTTTTAAGTGGTTAAAGTTGCCCCCTACAGGCCTGGAGAACTTTTTTCTCTCATTTTTAAGGGTTTTGTGCCTTAATTTAGAAGAAAGAACACTTGATAGAGCAGAAAATTTGGAGAGAGGGGGGAAATGAAAAGTGGTCAAAGGCTGTAGGTTGGAATCAAACCTTGACTGCTAACTGGCTATCACAGTGCAAAGGATATTTCAACTCTCAGGAATAATAATTATAATAATGCATCAGATTTCATAGAGCGCTTTGTCAGAGACCCTCAAAGCGCTTTACACTGGATACATCACACATCACACAGTCACACTTTTGATGGTGGTAAACTACCTTAGTAGTCACAGCTGCCCTGGGGCAGACTGACGGAAACGTGGCTGCCATTTTGCGCCTACGGCCTCTCCGACCACCACACAACACTCACAATCATACACCAGTGGAGGACACACACTGGGAGCAAGGTGGGTTAAGTGTCTTGCCCAAGGACACAATGGACAGACTTGGGATAGGGGGGAATCAAACCGCCAACCTTCCAGTTATTGGACAACCGCTTTACCTCCTGAGCTACTGCCGCCCAATAATAAGTGAATGAGGCAAGTAGAGCACTGTATGCACAGTGAATTCACATCATTTGCTTGCTCAGTCAGCGCGCCGTCATTCCTGTCATTCACCTGTACACACAGCTCCCTCTACGATGTGTCCGTACACTGACTTTACAAGTAATTCACTCACACAAATGATTTAATTTGCTCAGTGTTAACACAACACCACAGTTCCCCCACAGGAAACCACTTTAACTCAAAAAACCTTTAGTTGCAAAATCAAAAAACAAGCAGCAGACCTTTTGTTTACTATGACAAAGGAACTTGAACCTGCAAAAAAAAAAAATACATATAAGTTGGCTCATTTTTTGTCCACTGCTCATCTTGCTTCAGCCCCTCTACAAACACACACCTCTCCTGTTTTTAATCATACACTAGTCTGTCTACTAAATTTAAAAAAATTCTAGATTAACAAAATGGAAGAATCATCACATCTAATGGGACAACTCGTGCAGTAAGAATAGTTTTCCCCCATCCAGACTTTTATGATTGATTAATTACTTATTTCAAAATCAGATCAAGCAAACTCTATTCAAAATCAAATGCTGTTGGTTGAAATAATTCAATGGTAAAATGTCCTCTTCTCTGTCTTCTGCAGCTGTCACCATGGATGAGGAGCCGTGCCTGCTTCTTCCTCTCCACACTAGGGAGAAAGTGGAAAAGCTTTTATTCAATGGCAGTGAAGGCAACGACTGCAACCACATGGACGACAGCGACTGGTGCAACCTGGCAGCCCTCTTGGGATACGAGGAGGAGCAAATTGCCACTTTTAGGCAGGAGGAGCACCCTGTCCGTGCCCTCTTGTCTGACTGGGCGAGCAAGGACTCCGCCAGCATTGACGCACTGTGCACAGCACTCCGTAAAATCAACCGTGATGACATTGCCCAGAGTCTGGTGCTCAGCCCGAGTGCTGCAAAGCCAACCGCCACATCTGTTGTGTGATTTAACCACAAGAACCTTCAACAGTCTCTAACAGCCTCTCTTAATCTAAACAATTCATGCTAAAACTACTAAAAGCTTTCTGTCATAAAGGCAGCAGTCACGATGAGGGTAAAATACCAAAAATTCAGATTCTTAAAAAATGATTGGCCTATGTAGAAGGAAACTGTCTCTAATCATTCCATATTAAACTTACAAACCTTGTAACATCTATGTGATTGTCCTCAAACTTAAAGAAGCTGCTTGAGCTGTGTGCTTAAATATGGTGGATATTTGGCTCTCTAATCTTTCAGTTTCATCTCCTGAAACTCTCTTTGTCTTCATTCTCATATATAGTTAGTGTTTCCTTCTCTTGTAGCGCTTTTATGCCAGTATTGTTACTTTACAAATCTATGCTACCAAAGAGGACTGAACGCCTCGAGACCATGCCTGTCAGGCCACATTATTTACATGCCACGTCAGACTTTTTTCAATTGAACTTGTCAAATGACTTGTGTCTGTTACTGTTACCCGATGAGGCCTGCATACCACAGAGTATCTGGATCTTTGCAAATATGACAACCACAGGAAGGATGCTTGGACTGCTTTCAGATGAGACTGTTCTCCTTCAGCACAAATGAGAGCCAAGTGCAGCTTTTTACCCTGATTTTGAAAACGTGTGTGACATTGCGGACATTGAACTGTGGCACACATGGAATTAATCTCAACTTTGACGTTGCTTAAGTGATTTCTATAGCTTCTTTTTCCCAACAAGTGCTGTAAGAACTGCTGGCTGGACAAGTCACTCACAGGGAACATGAGACTCAATGTGACTTGATGTTCTCAGGCCTATCTGCATAACACAGGGGCCCACATACAGGGCCTTTATTCTGACCTAGGAAAGGAAAAGACTCATGGCTTCAAGAAACAACTCTGTAAACATTCTGTATATACATTCTCACATAGAGATATAGTATAACCATCCATGCATGTACTGTACAAATACATCCGTCATCATGTATGCATTACATTCTCATTCATGGTAGAAGTCTCATAAAACTTCAGATCCTGCCATATACTATATAGAAAACTCTCACAATGGGACCATATACTGTGTAGTCTTATTATTAAGTAGCCATATAAGGTACTTCTGTGTCTTTAAATATCCATATGTTTGCAATATGTGCTACTGGTCGAGTAAACTGTAAACAGCAGAAACAAGCAACACACTGTCAACTAGTGCTCAAATTTCAACACGCACATACAGAGTGATCAGCATGCAAAAGGAAAAAAAAATCCGGTCTTTCTATCTTTTTTTCTTAATTCCTCAGGGCAATCTAAAATGATTGTGTTACCATGTCAACCATTTAAACATTTCCCCCCAAAAGTAGACTGTTTTTTTTTTTTTGCCAAAGCAGCAATTCTTGCGACTGACAATCCTTTAAACATGAGAATAAGAAAAAGAGCAGTGCCAGAGAGGAAAAGAAAAAAAAAAAGTGTCTCATATCCTTATTGTTTGCAACAATAACCTCTAGATAAAAGGGAAGTCTGTGGAGACATAAGTCAAAGGATGTAGGGTGACTCAAGGCAGAGGGAGAACAGGAAAGTTTAGGTTTAACCCTGGAATCATTTGCATTATGCAGCATATTTAAGTAAACGCATGTATTCATGGAAGTTATCACTTTTCACAACACTGTTCACTGCCACCATTTCTTGATATTTGTTAAAGCATTCCAGCTGCTAGCAAAGGACCTAAAGCACCTTTTTGTTCTTGTTTAGTCCTTTATTTTGGAGGAAACATTTGAAGGAACAAGTAGTTTTTTAATCTCTCACACAACACCATATATACCTTTAATTCCTGGATACTGACTGTGTTGCCATTGTTGCCAACCTCTTGCACACTGAGCTTCATGCTGTAGTGTTACTTTAAATGAAGGTATTCTTGCTTTTTTAAGGGTCTTAGTATTTAAATGTCCAAATAACAGCTGTAAATGATATTATGCCTCTCTAATTGTTCTAGATTGTAGCACTTATATGCGTAATTATGTATGTCTGTTTTGCATCACAAGTGCCTGGGAACTATTTCAGGTGTCCACTGATGTACATTTTTTGAGCTTTTTTAAACTTTTGTTGTTAACTTGTAAAAAGAAAAGGGGAAAAACAAAGGTATTTTCTGGTTTTATTTGAGTCAAAACCCAGAGGGCGCTACTGTACTCATCTATGTTTATGGGAAACTGTCACCGTATCAATGCTGTCCCTGTTAAAGAGGATAAAGAAGGGCAAAAAGGAAGGGAGGTGCCTTTGTTAAGTAAAGGGTGCAAGTATAAGGCAAACCACTAATGGGTGTGTTATTAAGACTTTACATAAATATTTTTCTGATAGTATTAATCACAAATTGAGAGCTCCAATTGTCCACTGAATACACTACCTGCCATCAAAATCAGTGAGAAACACAGAATAGATACAGAAGACTATGGTCAGCAGTCAGCAAGCTTAGTTTAGTTTAGAGCAAAAGTGCAAGAAACAGGAAGACAGAGGCAGCCACAACCTTCATAGTAACAGTCCACTAGCACCAGTTATCTCAAATAATCACTAACAATTTTTGTTTTTATGTTTGCTTGAAACAAGAGTGAAACAGCCAAGTTACGTTGTTAGTGACAAGTATACCAAAGTTGTTTCATGTATTCTGTTTCCTTTTGGACAGACTAATGCTAGCTGTCTGTCCAATTTCTAGTGTTTCCACCAGGTTAAGATGACCTAAACCAAGCTAAGCTAAGCTAAGTTTACTGAATTTTTTATTTTTCAGTTGTGAGGATGATATGTATATATCCTTAGGCAATCTCAGAAACACCAGGCTGTTATCTGCTGTAATTGAGTGACATTGTCTAAAAGTATACTGGTATGTTAACATTTATGCAGATATCTCTTAATGCAGATAAATCAAATTTAATGTCAAATTATAGCCAGGGGGGTTTGGAAAAAACAGTAAGGCTGATGATTTCTGCCCCTTTGCTCCCAACAAAAACTGTTGTCCTGCATCCAGATAAAACTGGCTGAAAAAGCTGTTTTACTTTAACTTTCCCTTCAAACCAAATGTGAGAACTAATTTGTAAGTCATTTGAGACAGCTCATGAATATTTCCTTTGGTTTAGGTACAATAGTCTGCCATATAAATGTATGATACTGTAAAGTAAAAAAGCAAAAGCAAAACTTTGATATCAGATTCTTGAATTAAAGGAAAATGCCGCATGTTGACTGATAAGTTCAGAGAGACTTGAGTTCCTGATTGTCAACTAAATTAACAATCACTTTCAGAGTTTGCCCCCTAATTAGAAGTTAAGACTGAAGGTGGAGTTTTTTTCCTTGGACAGTATTCCTGAAGTTTGATTAATATGAGAGATTTAATGGAGAGGCGGGGAACAAAAATTGTATTGCTTGTACAGTAAACCCATCTGAAGGTGAAAATGTCATGATGTTGCACTTGTGTAAGAAAGTAATCTTGCAGATAGGGGAGTTTGAGGGTGGGTGGGGAGTGATGATCTTTGGAGACTGAGATTGTTTTTGTGAAAGCCCTGGTTATGTAACTCACAGTGACTGACAGTGTACCAGGGCTGAATTGTACAGATCTGAGGATTCCTGAAAGTTACTTGTCTACTACATATACTGTTCTATACTTAATGTGAATTTGTAAAATTCCAACATCAGACAAGCAGTTAAATAAATAATGAAAGCTCAAACCCACTCAACTTATGTATTGATCCTATAATGCACACACAAACAATCAAATGCATACTCTTGCATCAGCTTAAACATTAACATGTCCTTCATTAACCCACAGCTGGTGCATCACAGAACTTACAGTAAATCATAAATGCATCATTTTAAAATATGATGGGAAAAGACAGAGAAACAGTCAGCGATAACATAAAAACTATTTATAAAACTACTGAACTTGGCTTATTCTTCCAAAATGAAAACTTTACTTTCCAAAACTTCGTGTCTCATCTAATCACTTTTTATCTTGTTTCACACAATATTGATATTGGTGCTCAACACTGCCTTATAATGTCAGCTTAAATAGTATCTCTTTTTGCATCGCTTGAGTTGCAAGCTCAACATCTGCTACCATATTTGACCTGTTAGGTCTTGTTCACTGCAGAAACAATGCTAAAGAAACAGGAAATTGAAACTGTTGTGGCTAGCTCCTGTTAGACCAGCTGAAGCTGTCTGCCTTTTAGTGGGTTGCATCTTGACAAACATCTTAAAATATGACACAATGATAGATCCGATTTTAACAGCGAGCTTTAATGGAGCAAAAGAAAAATGCTCAAAATTAATAGATAACACTACATTTTATAATCTGCTTAAGCCATGTTAAACTTGAGTTTAGTAACTGGATTATTTATTGCATGATTATTTATTTAAAGCTGTGCTTGGGGGTGCTAAATAAATATTTATGCTCTAACCCGATCACAGTATGGTCTGGTTTTGACACAGCTCTGGATTTACCCTCAGGGTGGAGAAGGCCTGTGTATTTTCCTGGAGAGCGACTTAAGTCCTTCTGACATGTAATCTAAGCCAACGGAGGAAGTTTGGTCACTAAGAGCTTCAGTCCCAGTGCATGAAGGCACTGAAGGGGCAGGGGGACAGAAAAGGAGGTGAGGCAGGAGGGGGACTAGATCCTCTTTGGCTTCATCAAACTGACTGCATGAATTACAGCATGGCGTGTGGTCTGTGCAGCAACAGCAACACAATACTATAATAATAGATACCAACAGCCTGTCAACGCAATCAGACCGACTGCTGAGTGATATGGCAAGGAAATGATGCATGAAATGAGTTGGAGGAGCACAGGGGTTCCCAGTGGTTTCATATTTTTATGTCAAGCTGTATTTTACAAGTGTGGAAACTTTTAAATAGATTAGCACATTGATTTACAAGTATTTACTTTTCACCTCATGTCTTAATGCCCTCTCTATGTTTCAGACCAATCACCAAGCTGTAACCCGTCCATCTAAGCTCAGCCTGACCTGTTTAGATCTGCACTGGCATCAACAGCTTCTGACCCAGTCACAGTGCCCAGGATCAGTTTCTAAGTGAACCATGTTTCAAATGGAAAACACATTTCCTTGCTAACTGCGGCTAACCTCCAGTGAGTCGTTAGTGAGGAATGTTTGATGTGTGGAGGGAGCCATATGTGCAGGAGTGACATATGGTGGTGAAAGAGGATAAGCACTGGTGAGTTTGGTTGACCATCCGAAGAGAAGACAGAAAAGTTGTCCTCTCTAATTGATCAAAAAAAGAGTTGATTAAAACACTATTTCTTGATTTTTGGGTGATTTTTCAACACATAATGACACAGATGTTTGAAAATGCTGTGTTCACTGACAGTAAGCTGTGTTCACAGGCCCACAAGAAAAAAAAGCCCCAATGTTTTGGACTGAAACTACTCTCATCGAAAAATAAGCAGGTGATGATTTTCCCGTTATTTAGTTCCCTGTTTCATGGTTAACTTGGCTTCTTTACAACATGTTATGGTCAGTTTAATGACTCAGTCTCAGGTGGTCTCATAATAACAGGTTTATTTTCTCTAAAAATCACTTTTAGGGATAAGTTAGGCATAGCAAAACAGAATAATGTTTGGGTTGTGAAACTTTATGATTAAAAGATCTTTCCACAGATTTTTCATAGAATAACTACATGGCTCATTAAGTTATCTGGAAGGAACTGAAATTAAATCATCAGAGCTGGCCCTAAGCAAAATATGATGTTGGGGCCCTCTATTTCTGCCAACAATATTGATTGTTGATCATTCACACACCTTCACAAATCTCTTTGATTAACATTCCATGACATGCGAACATAACTTTATCTTGGCGATTTTTCTCTTCTTCCTCTTTCTTTTCTCTGTTCCTGAAGGATATGTCCTTTTTTGCAACATTGTTTTGCCCTACAACTACCTGCACTTTGGATGCTCAGTGAACATTGCAGAGGAGAAAGCACGTAATGGTAGCGGAGCTTTAACATATTGGCAGTAAGAATCATAGGCCTACATCAGCAGCAGCACGAAAAAAGTTTTTATCTTATCTTATTTTTACAATAATATATATTTGGTCATACAGAAAGCATCACTCATAAATGCAAAAAATAAAAAATATTTGAAAATTATGGTTTTTTAATTCCTCTTGGGGGCCCCCTACTGGTCGCGGGGCCCTAAGCAGGCGCTTAGATCGCTTATGCCTTGGGCCAGCTCTGTGTCTTATCATGCAAAGCCGGGGTTTTCTCAGTGGTTTAACAGAAAGCCATGAAATACTCAGATATGTATATTTTTTTTACAGTTTGTAAAAACTGTTCATTTTTTGTAAACTCCTTAAATGTAATACTCTGTTTCAGCAAATTATTTTGATTGTTAAACAAAAGAGAATGATCAGCATCCTTCCAAGCTTTAAAGGCTTGTTTCCAATAGCAGCTCTAATAGCACTTTTAAAAGTATCTTCTGTCCAAAACCACTGCAGTTCAGTTCAAAAGTTTCTGTGCGACACGTTTTTTGTTTTTTCAGGCCATCACCAGGGACTCTCCCTCATTAGTAAATGTCATTTTTCGTTCCTACAAGGTAAAATCAAGAAAAAACTGAACTTCTAATACTAACTGTGTCAACATTGACAAGATCTCCCCCACCCCTTCCTTTTCTTTAAACCCCCTTCAAAGCAGATGTTTAACATACAGGGCATTCCCAAACAGTCTTAATAATCATGTTAAGCAGAAGTGCCAGGAGTCATCTTTTGCAACTTGGCATTAGTAAGCACTGGTGAGAAGAACTGTGCAATAGAGGTTATGGTTGCTTATAGTACAAAAATGTTGGTAGTGGACGCAGGCCCTAAATGAATCATATAATGCCTAATTTTGCAGATACAGTTTTTCTTATTCAAATATTTCCAAGCCAAGCATGCTTAAAGTTGAAGAAAACATAAATCATAAAAAGAATACATTTCTGTTTTAATTGTTTTAAAAATGTGTTGAATTGTTCTGAAGATGAAACTGATCCAAGCATGAAAACACTGTAAATATTTGACCCCAACGTTCTCGCCCTTAGGCTTCCTTTGCCTCATTCCATACAAGTCGGTACAGTGCTCTCCAAAAAAGGCAATCACTGTGAAGAGGTGAAAGGTTGGGAGCATCTTCATCTTTACAACAGAGTGAGGCGCATCCCTCTGAGGCCCTTTGTAGACACTCATGATGATGTATGACTGACTATAGCGAGTCAGTGGATCATTCCAGATGAAGGCACACGTGTTCTCTTTAGTTACGCAGGACATGGACAGGAGATCAAACACGACGTACAACCTTTGAAAGTAGCAAAATGGTGTTGCAAAGTCGGACACTGAGGTGACTAATCTCCTGGGGAGCCAAAGGTCAGTTTCTGACAAGGTAATGGCGGCAAAGTTGGTGTCTAGTCTTATCTTGACACAAACAAGCATGAATTTGGGGCTCAGGTTCAATTTGTACGGTGATTTGTAATGAATGCTTGAACTCCAGTGGGCTGAAGATGACTCCTCCTAAATACAACATAAAATTCTAAATAGCCAATTTCTGAATACAATAAGCACCAGCCTTGTACAGCCCTTACCCCAACGTCAAGCTCTCCATAGTGTGCACTAGCCCTGATGTGCACGCTCTCTAATACAGACACTCACAGAAACAGCAATGCATACTCAAAAGAAAACTCTCTGCTTTCCTTTGGCGTCAAGATCCTGTCCGACGCATTCAGCATGTCCTCAGATGTAAAAAATAGTGAAGTTATGTTGCCACGTGTGAGCGGATCTAACAAGTAATGCTTTGACATAACCCATACAGTGTACTGAGAGTGTTTTGCAAGTAGAGGGGCATGCTGTGCTTCTGCTATGTGCTGTTTAGTAAGAGTCCTCTATGTTTAACATATATGCCAAGGTTTATAGATGAACCCACAAGGCTCACTGTTCATTTCAGTCTCAAAAACTCCTCACAGGAGCTTCAAAGCCGTATCTTTCTCCAATGATCCAAAGTGAGATGACACAAGTTAAATCATAATAATATTGATGTTGAATAAATTTCATCTAAATCTTCTCTAGTTTAGATAACAGTCACATTAACCAGATATTGATCATTTGAAGTTTAGTTGGACTGTGATTTTAGTGTTGGAGGTATCAAAGGTTGAGCCAGACACAAATGTTTATCTGTACTGAAAATCTATCCTGCATTATATCCCGTATGACACACTGAGATCCCACTCTGCGCTCTTCTTTGTTTACACTTGGCTACTCAGAGGAGACCACGTAACCCTCTGCTTTTACAAGCTGTCCATCTATAAAAATGAAGTGATGTGGTTTCCCACTCTGTTCTATTATTCTGCTCCTCTTCCTCCTCTTCTCCCACCTGTCTCTGTTTGCTGGAACAGAGAGAGAGGCTCTGCCAGCAACGCACACAATTAAGTGGAGAGTGATGAAATTATATCTCCGGCCCGGACAAATGGAGGGATGAAGGGGGATAGAAAGGCAAAGTGGGAAGGCGGGAGAGTCCATTCTTTTTCCCTCTGGGGCTGGGGCAAATTCTATTAGGGCCTGTAATACAGCCATTTTTCACCTCCTCTACATCAGACTGTTATACAATTCTTCCTTGTATCCTTCTCTCCTTCTTTTTTTCCTCCTAGAAAGAGTTGCACCCAAAGTATTTTCCATTTTCTGCACCTTATCTGTCTCTTGCTATTTTTATTCCACCTCCACATTAAATATATACAAATATTGCACACCTTACTGTGACCATAAAAAATGTGTAAAAAGACGAAAAAACAGCAGTTACTTTCACATCTTGTTAGGGATTAATGGGTTATAAAATGTCTGCGGCCCTAAAGGAGGTGATTAAAACTTAATGACAGGAATGTGCTTTGGAAAGTCAAAGCCACAATCATTACAATTTCAGCAGGGATGTAGCTTTAATGTGTTTAGTGGGAAGTGACAAAGTAAGGCACATTGACAGCATCTTTTCGTAGCTCTTAATTGGAGAGACATTCCAGTTTGTGGCCTTGTGGTAACAGGAAAGGATTTATTTGTTTGTCATGAGTTGACTCCAGGGGAAATGCCATTAAGACATTGAATGTGTTTTATTTGCATTTGATTTGAAAGCACACATGTTCCCTGTTTCTATTTGTGTCCTCTGTCTGTTTGCCAGGTGCCTGTCACAGACATCAACATTGCCATTAGACAGTATCTTTTCACTGTCCCTATGGTGTCTCAGTTACTTATCGTTTTCAGATCTTAATTCATAGAAAACTACACCCAGTTTCATCTTTTCATCAGTGCAGCAAGAGATTTCAACTTAAGGAAGAATACATGGTGTGAAATGTCATCTAACACCCTCATGAATACATACGATCTCTCTTTGAGGCTTTTGTCGGACCATGCTGATAAGTGAGTCCCTGAACTGACAGAGCCTTGATGTCATAACAGTAAAAAGATCTACAACATGGCAACAATTGTACAAAGACAGCCAAGATATGCTCAAAGCCTGATCTTATCCTGGAGGTACAAACACACCTCACGAATGACACTGATACTGCAGGCCAGCTGTGCATTCAAACGCCTGTCAAAAGAGACTTGCAAGCATTAAACAGATCTTCTAGTTTATTTTGATGACGTATATTTTTACCTGGGAGATCATTATTGGCACATGCTTAATATAAGCAACTACAAAAATTGTGATTGTGTTTTAAAGAGACGTGCAAAAATATATCATATTGTCTGTGACCTTAAAAATTAGACTTTGTTTGGGCTCTATTTTCGTGCGCACCGGTGAGGCGGCGGAGGGCGGCGAGCCCCGCGCAGTTGTATTTTCGTCTGGCGGAGCCCGGCGTAAGGCCAGTTTGGTATTTTCGTGGACTGAGCCGCACGGAGGCGAGCCGAGATCCGCCAAGCTGGGCGTGGTGGCGTGGCAGGGGGAGGTGTCGACAGAATCAGCTGGCGCAGTGACATTTTCGTGCTCGCCACTGGCATGTAAAGTGCGCTGAAAGCTCGCCAATTCAAACCTGGTCAGCTTTCAGCGCATGGCGGAACGCAGCTGGTCCAGTAGTATTTTGGTAGACCGGCGGCGTATCGACATACGTCACTGATGCCTCACCGGCAGGTTTCCACAGTGTCAGGCAGATTTCAGTGCAATAAATAATCATCAACAACTAATAATCTGAGTCAGCACATACATTTAGATCTATATAGATATATTCTGATCTATATGTGATCTGATGAGCGCGTTTGGCACGTGTTTGGACACACAACCTGACCGAATCAACACAGCTGAAACCGCATCAAATTAAATATCTAGTAAATAGACACACATGATGAAGTTAACAAGATATGTAATTCGTCTCCCTCCTTTTCTTTCTTCCTCTTCCTCTTATTTCTCGCACAGCTCGACCTGGACACGTCTCTGTGTCCTCTGTCCGTCTTGCTGCTGCGGCGGCTGAACAGATGATTTGTTTCAGCGCTCAGATGCGTTATCTACTTTAAGCCGACATACGGATATTATAATATTCAGTTTTGTGAGCCAAATTTATTTTATATGCCAACATCTATGACAGAAAGAGCCAGGCCACGGAGCGCGATGCGTCATTTACGCACAGATGGTTCCGATTTTAATGCCATTTTTGGAGTTTATGTTGTGATCTGTGCGCTCAACCGACCTTTGTCACGTGAGGTTTGAATATGAGCAACTTTATGTGAGTGTCTTTATTTGTAGAAAAGGGTGTTTGTCTTACCACTGGGTCCAACATTACACACACCAAATCCATCTGTGCTCATATGAGAGTGTGGAGGACACTTGTTGAGGAGCTGCCCTCTGTCGCCATCTTGTGGCATTACTGTCTTAAGACATCTCTTGATCTCTTTGACTACTTCATGAAAATAGTAATACGCCTCGCCTGTGGCGGATTTAAAGGCAAGGAGAGGAGCTTATGTGATTGGTGAAAACAGGTCTCGGCTGTGTTAAACCCACTACACGCCCTCTCTCCTCCCCGTCTACGACTTATGCTGCTGGGAGGAGCTGAGTTAGGGAGGGGGGATACTTACGCCGGGCTGCGCAGCTCACCAAAATACCAAAATGTGCTTGGGAACACCTTGTCAGTCGTCTGACTGACGCTGCGCTTGCGGCACGTCTCCGGCGAGGCACCAAAATAGAGCCCTTTGTGTACAACAACACAATCATCATCATCAAATCAGCAGTATTCAAAAACACAGATCTGGGACCGATTAAAAAACAGTCACATGAAACAATTGGATAAAAACACAGAGATGGAAGGACAAGGATTTGGTGGACCAAGTACCATGGCAGGCCTCCGCTTCTTGCTGCACAACCAGGAGTAAGTGAAAGGAAGGCAACTACCAGCTCTCAGTGGCTGCGTTTACATGGGCACAAATAATCGGAATAAATGCCTGATCGGAATAAATATGTGTCATGTAAACATGTCAATCGGAAGATTCTGATCCAATTCAGCCCAATCAGAAAGAAATTGTATTCCGAGCGAGCGAGATGGTTTATGCCGATTGTTATTCCAAATCTTGTCCATGTAAACACTTATTCCGATCGTGACTCTCTTACCTGACTCGATCTTCACTTTTTAGTCTTTGGCTTATTTATTGAAGCCAGTACAGGAAGTTTCATTATTAACACTCATAAAACACAACCGCAGGTGCCGTGTCTGCTCCTCCGGTAACATAACAAGACTAACATACAGCATAGTACATACATACATAGTGATGTCACATCTGCACACACAGCGCAACCTTTGACAGAACAGTAAAATAAGTATGCAAGGGTGCCATCTAGTGACAACAATAGGGGGAAAACTCCTGAGTTGGATGGAGTGAGCCACTACACTGTTTGTTGGAAAGGTATAGAAGGGAAGTGGAGAAGAATAAAAACTGTTGTATTTTGGTGCTTTATTCTTCAACTTGAGTACATACAAATCATTACATGGAGACCATTGAATAAACGTGTGTTATGCTGTTGTAGCCACTGTTTTAAACAAATGTGAAACAGAGCTCAATAAACCGCCTTTATTTGTTACCGAACTCTAAGCATTTTCAAGTAATTGCAAAGTAAATTTTCAAACTTTCAATATAAATTGAATTTCATTGAATTTCTCTTTGGGTATCAACAAAGTTCTTCTTATCTTAATAAAATAGAAGGAATATTGAAATAAAGTGGACTAAAATTTTAATCTGCAAGTGTAAAATCAGATTTTTTAATACAGATTTGGACACATAACCTCCACAAAACTACTTACTGTGATTACTTAGCCTTGTTAGTCAACCCATGTTACTCTAAACATGCTAATAAAAGGATCATCCCTTCAGAACACGTGTTGTTTGCAAGAGGCCCCCTGTATCTAGTATCTAGTCTGTGTTTTCTGCTCAGGAAACCAGAACTCTGTCCCCATAATCTGCCCCATGAAACCTGATTAGCCTCCAGAATAGCCAAGGACAAGCACTGATGTTCTGCATCTCATATAATACTAGAGCTTGAGTTTCAATCCAAGCCACCCTTCTCTGTGGTGAATGCAGGTATAGAGTGATGATCATGATGTCACATTGATATGGCCTCTAAATAAAGGAGTGATGTAATGTTGCACAGTGGATGTGGAAGAAGACACGGTGGCAGATTATTGTACTCCAAAAGATAATACAGCTCTCCACTATAAGACGGAGCTTTCCCACATCTATCTGGAAATCCAAGAAAGAGAAAGAGCCTGTGGGTTTTGCTGCTTCGTCCCCCTCTATTTTTCATGTAAGGAAGTCACTGATATCATGTTAGTGAGAGTTTTTCCAACAGCATCATGTGAAAAAAAGAGACCATTGTGCCAGAGACTGCAGATTCATCCTTGTTTTTTTTAGATGATATGTCTTTGCTTCCTTTTGAGGACTTTTGTTTTGCTGATTACTGTCTGCTTTTGGATCCTACCTTTGTGTTGTGACCCATCCTCTTTCTTTTTCACACTTTATTTTTAAGGCATGTTCACGGTCTGTGATGACAGCAAGAGCCCCAATCGGTCAACATCAGTTTTCAGCCTGACCCAAGGCAGAATGTGCAGCAGCTTGTCTGTTTGTCATGTATGCAAACTGCATTAGTGATCTTGTGAATCCAGAGTGGAAAGCCTGTCTTAGACAACACTTAGACAGACACTTACCTTGTTGCATGAATGCCTGAAAGACAATTGATTTATCCCACTAAAATACAGGAAACAAACCCCTTTGAACGCCCCTCATTTCTCAAGGGAACTTTGGATAGCCGTTGTTGAACAGGCTTTTCTCCCAGCTTGGTTTAGAGAAGGCTCAGATTGCTGATGGCTCTGCACCATTCAACCAATAATGAAGCTCTGCAGCTCATGCTGATGGGGCCCATCTGAAGCATCTGTGAAGGACTGGTCACTCATTAAAACTGTAGGAAAAGATCAGTTATGAAAAAGTTGAGCTTTCTATGTTCAGCTGTCTGCTGACATCTTTTGAACTTCTTTGCCACACTTAACTGATATAGTTGACTTTACCCACAGGCAAATTTGAGGTCCCAAGCCATTGTGGGTTTACAGCATGTGTTTAGGGTGGTGTTAAAAGTAAAGCTGAAAATCCTAGCAGGAACAAGGACAAAAAAAACTGTGGGTTTAAGGTAGATTTCAAACTTTAAGTCTGCTTGTTGTCCACATTATCAGCACACTTCAAAGAACGAAACCAGTGATCATACAGAGGCTTTTACACAATCTCTAATCACGCCCAAGTTTGATTTTATGCTTCCATGTGACAAAAGTTAAAAAAAAAAACATCATGTGACACTTGTATACCCTCAAGGCAACACTCCTCTTCATCGTGACCTTTTTGGCCGAGTTTTACCAAGAGGGTCATCTCGTCTGTCTGGCACACAAAACAACAGATACTCTGGCATTCAGCCCGGCTCATTCAAATCCCATCCTCCTCTCCCCAGTACAGATTTGCACAGAGGCAGCGGTGAGTGTCAGGTTAAGCTACAGTATCAGCTGTCAGGGATTGGAGTCAGATCAAAGTGGGATAGTGAAAAGAAAGAGATCCACACCCCGACTCTTGAGCATACTAAGAAGCTGAGGAGCTAACCCTGCTCCCTGGGGAGTTGTAATGGACGCGGCAGATTACCCCTGTGTACTACCGCCATTTAGGCCAACCTAAGGGAGCTACAGTGGAGGATAGCATGCTGCTATTGATGAGGCCTAGCAAAGCAATGATATCACTTAACCTGCCAATGATATGAGTTTTCTTTCCCAATAACCTTTTTGGTTATTACTAAGCATTTACGCACAGATGGATCCGATTTTAATGCCATTTTTGGAATTTATGTTGTGATTTGTGCACACAACTGACCTTTGTCATGTGAGGTTTTGCAACTTTATGTGAGTGTCTTTATTTGTGGAAATTGGTGTTTGTCTTACTAGTGGGTCCAACCTTACACACACCAAATCCATCTGTGCTTATATGAGACAGTGTGCAGGACGCCCTCTGCAG